AGGATGAAGCGTTATTGGAAATTTATCCTGGCATGACCATTATCTAAATTTGTAAGTATCACCTTTTTAATGCTTTTCAAAAAATCTATATAATAATTAACTTATTAAGGATTATTACCAATTGCTTATTTGCTGATTCCCAATCATATTTTGTCACAAAGCCATGGTCAATATCTACTTTAACTTCCTCAACAGAAAATGAGCAACCCGCATCAGTGTTATTCTCCAATTCGACAGACATCATTAACACATGATCTAAAGGAGATACACTAGTAGTCCGCATGCGAACATTGAGTGCTGACTTTATAGATAAAACTTTACGTATATTATGTTTCAATGGAGGAGAAGAATTTGTGCTTAAATTTAAAGACAAACGTCTAGTTTCATTGCCAAATAGACGACTTGTTGGGAGTAGTAGACTAGCTGTAGGTGACTTGAATGATGGATCTTTTCATTTTTTAACAATGTTTTCAAAATGAATATAATTAAATAATTGTCGCAAAGAATCGATTGTTTAAACCTTTTTTTCGACTAACCATAATTTAAGCCTTCTAATAAATTCGTCATGCCAAAATTCTCGCCATTAGACGTTTCAGAATTAAATGATTTTCCAATATCTTTTAATTCTTCTGATAGAGGAATTTGAGTAATAGTCGTATTAAGCGCTAATGCCGGAATCTGAGCACGAGTTTTTACATATGCTAATTATATATAAAATAATAAATATTTTGAACTCTATTTTTTTAACAAAACCTATTATAGAACGCTACAAATTTAAATAATTAAACAATAAATAATATTAAAATCAAAGTCTCAGGGCTTACCTACAGGGACTACCAATGGTACTAGACATGACCAAGACCCATTCTTTTCAAAAACCAACATTTGACGATCTTTTGATTTTTGATTATATAAATAAGAGGATATTATTGTACCATCTGGTGGTTTAGATGGTTTCTTGTCCATGAGTGGTGGTAAAGGAGTGCTTGGTATCGAAGGCGAAGTCGCTGTAGAAGTTTCTCGAGATTTACCCGGAGGTAAACGATATACTGGTGGAGGAGCGGTGGGGGTTGAATTCGAAACAGACGCATTTGCATCGATTATTAATGCTTCAACAAATATTTCAAGTTGCTGGAAAAACAATGCGGCTGCTTCTTTATCAGTGATGCCAGAATCACTGGAAAGACATATATTAAGATAAAAGCATTAAAAAGGTGATACTTACAAATTTAGATAATGGTCATGCCAGGATAAATTTCCAATAACGCTTCATCCT